ATAAGTTAAGGTGATACTTGTAGTGAAACTTTGTATTTAGGGCTATCAACATAAAATCAATGGTAGTAAAGTAGGCGAGATATTTCAGCGTGTGCACTCTTGTTATACAAAACATAAGACCACAAATGGTTTTATCAGGTTTATTCACCGTTTTAAAGTTTTTTCTGAAAATCAATGTGTAACGCTTACTTTGAGATTAAGGAAACGCTTACTTTAAGATTTAAAGGGATGGAAGGATGCAAGTTTAGTAAAATATGTAATGGTAAAAATTGTCTCAATGTAGAAAATCTCTCTATTAGGGAATAATCATTTAAAATTTGAGGGGGTGGTGTTTTTTTTTTTCTAAAATATATTCTGATTCCAAACTTTAAAGAATCATCATAACTAAATACATGAATGTTGGATGTACAAATACCGAGACACGTCTAATAGCAATGCGAATTTACACTCAGCAAAACAGTCATATTCGGGAATAGGTCACGTTCGGTACTTAGAAGGCCAAATGACGTAGATGGTAAACCACAATCTAAGACGTGGTAAAATGTCGTTAGTTAGTTTAGACACAGACACATCGTATTTCAACCAATTCGTGATGGTGTCCATAAAATTGTCATTTTTAATCTTTCCTCCTCATAACTCTGTTGGAGCAGTTTCTGCGTAAGGAGCACACTCCTGTATATGAAGTCCGTATAGTGTGAACATGCACGAGCATAACGTATCAACTGAGATATGTAAACACCGCATACGATGGGGCAGAGTGTATGTTACTGCTGAGAGATGGGAAATTGATAATTGGGAAGTTGAAATCGTCCCGTTTGTCATAGATTTTAGCGTGAAGTCGTCCATCTGTGTCAATATTGAGTAAAAGATCTAGGTATGAAGCAGTCCTCCTAGTATCAGTAGTATCCTTAATTTCAAGTTCACTGGGATATATGAGATGTAAGAACTGGCTGAAATACGGGTTATTCAGTGATAGGAAATCATCAATACATCTGAAAGTAAAATTTTAAACCCGCTGCAATTGTTTGCAACTGTCCTAAGTCAGGAATTTGATGTTCAGTAGTTGTCGTTTGTTGATGTGATTCATAAGTGTTTCTCGTTTCTCGTTTTTTATATAGATTAGACCCTTGGTTTTTCCGTTTGAATGGTTTTACATTAGTAATTTTGGGGCCCTTTATAGCTTGCTGTTCGGTGTGAGCCAAGGCTCCGTGTCGAAGACCGTACTTTGACCTATAATGGTTTACTTTTATAAATTTTGACTTTGATGGAGAGTTGTCTAATTGGCACTAGCTCATACCACATCTTCTTATATCTATTTAAATGAATTCTGCTTCATACGAGTACAAAAACAAATCGGCCAGTAGGGGTGCACAATTAGTACCCATTGGAATACCGACTGTTTGTTGAAATATCAATCCTCCAAACTCAACAAATATATTGTCGATCAAAAGGTCCAGCATTTTGATAATATCATCTTCAGTATATTTTCTGGTAGAATCGGTGTGGTTCTTCACAAAATAAGAATTATTATAACCCAAAACAAGAAATTTATATCTACGATTCCCATTTTTATAGAAAAAGCTCTGTTTAATGAGATGGTGAAGTCGATCTTTTAATTGAGCATGGGGAATAGTAGTGTAAAGCGTAGAAAATTCAAAAAGTTTTAATGTTGCTGCAAAATTGCAGAGATTGTGATCTAAGATTTAGCAGTAGATCTTTAGAATTTTTAAGAATCCACATCTGATTGACAACACTAGTGGAATATATCTCATCACAATATTTTTGAAGGCCATCTTTTACTGTAGAAAGAATAGTAGTCAGCACTTTAGAAAGATGTTTAGTTGAACATCTTGATGATCCGGCTATGTATAGTTCTTTATAAGGAGTTTTGTGAAATTTTGGTATCCAATATAATGACGGTAGATTTTCTTTGTTTTCTTTGATGTTAATACCAAAATAAGAAGAAGGACAGATTTCTGATTTCGTAAAATTTCATCCTTTGTAAATGTTGTTAAAGAATATGTAGGATTACCAGTTTTGTTGTATATTCCAAGCTCTTTTGTGAGACATTCCAAGTAATGGTTCTACATATGAAGACAATATTATTAGAGGCTTTATCTGCTGGAACAACGACATATTTGTCATGCAAAGAGGATAAAGCATCCACAACCTCCGGGTTCTTGAATGGGTTAGAAACCCTTGTGCTTATAGTACATCGTATTTTCTGAATGCGTTTCTGAATGCATGATCGAATAGCTTTGGTCCATTCAGACAAAGTGTCCAGTTCTGGTTCATCTGGTTCGCGCTTTACCCATTTTCTGGCATAGTCTTCAAATGCATCCATCAGTAACCTGAATTTTTTTTTCCAGTAACTCTCTCCCGGACGCAAAGAGGAATGAGCACGAAGAAAATATTTCCAAAAATATTACAAAGCATTTAGGAGTCCTAAGAAAATTAAAATTTAAGATGAATAGACAGAACTTAGAAAAAATGTATCTGGTATATATTCGTCCTATATTTGAGTATGCTTGCGAAGTGTGTGACAATTGTGGTATTTGCTATTCAAACAAATTAGAAAAACTTCAACTGCAAGCCGCGAGGATTGTAACAGGACTGCCAGTCTTTACTAAAACCGAATATTTATATTTAGAGACTGGCTGGGAACCCCTTCACAGTAGGAGCCACAGAAGAAAACTACAATTATTGTATTCTCGCTCCACAATATTTATGTGATTTAATTCCCCCAACTTTACAAAGTACAACTGTTTATCCACTGCGTAATGGCAATGACTTAATAGCCCCCTTTTGTCGACTCGCCTTAACAAATTCTGCTTTGATTCCCTCGTCCATCAGAGAATGGAACAAACTTGATAATTCTATCCGTACCGTACTTGACAAGTGACTCGATACCCTATCTAAGTTCAAACGCTCTTTCTTGAATAATACATACGAAGCAAAAAGTGTACAGTACCTAAGCGTTTTATGTGTGGTCCGCGGAAATTGAGTGTAATTTTAACACAGCTGCGATGTTCAGCCTCTTTTCTAAATAACGACCTATTTGAATCAAATATAAAACAAAGTCCATATTGTGCTTGTGGCGCTCCGCGTGAGGATTCATTTCATTTCTTCTTTAATTGCAATAAATACACCGATATAAGAAACGATCTATTAACCAACACTCATCGTTTTCAAGTGACAATAAATTTACAGTTGCTCACTGAGGGTAGCCAAACTTTAACATACGAGGAAAACTGTGAAATCTTTAAAGAAGTCTTTAAATGTATAAAAAAAAATCAAAAAGATTCCTTGTAGTTTAATCAAATAAGATATGCATAAACAAAAACACCGTGCAGGTCCACAGAATTTCATTTATCTATTTATTTTTTTTTATATTTGTATTATTTCTTATTTTTTCTTTTTTTTTCTTTTATTTATATTTTTTTTTTTCTTTTTCTCAATTCTCTATCCTTTTCCTTGTTAATTGTGTTAGGCATTTTTTTCCTTTTCTTCTAATATTATGTAAAGGAGAAGACTTCATAAGTTGGTTAAACTTGTGTCCGATCCTTTTTGTATCTTTGAGCAAATAAAATTGTTATAAACTAAACCGTATCACCTAGGACATAATAAAGTGAGTATAATAGTTCCAAGTATCACATAACAAAAATTAATTTAGTTTTGAAAATTCAGTTTTAATCTGTTATAAATACAAATTATTACATTCAATGTTTGACAACGGATTTGTATAGTGAGATTCTCACTCCCACTATACAAATCCTGTTTGACCATTATCGTCAGATCAGAGACACATGTATATATGTAAAGCAAAATATTGTTCTATGTAATACTGTCCCCCAAGACAATATTGCATGACTATGCATCATGAACTATTGTCCTCATCTATGAAAAAATGTCCGGAGAAGGACAAATTTCCATTATGAAATTTTGTCTGTATATAGACAATATTTCATAGATGAATACTATGAAATTTGTCCTGTTAAAGGGAGGCTATATTTTGTGTATATTGAGACAATATTTCATAGACAGATTGTCATGAAATTTTGTCTCATAAAAGGGAGGTATTAGAAAGGGACATTCCAGTTACTCCTGAACCTCCAAACGCCGTTGCAAAATTATTTATTCCTCAATCTAGTATTTACAAATACTATTAGGACATTCAATTTTGAACATATATAAAGTGATTGTCAGTACATTACTTATATTTATACAGTATATTGTGAGTACAATGGAACATAGGCAAGACAATTCTTTAATCTATTTAAGGAATGACTGTAATATTTTTTCTGTCTATGAAGAAATAACATCAAAAATGTGGTGCACACTGAATAAGCCGCGTAGCCCGGGCCCCCTCTTTCGTGGGAAAAATTTGGTTGATTATAGGGAATCACTGACCATGACTGTAGCGGGCCCCCTGTTGTGGCAGTCAGTACCCCCCCCCCCCCCATTATAAAATGTGCATGCTTCATGCTTGTGTACTGTTTTTAATTTTGTAATATATAAATTTGATTAAGAATTTTCATGGACTGTATTTCATAGTGAAATATATTCATGCACAGAATTTCACGGTGAAATAATGTCATATAGACAGTATTTCATAGTGAAATATTGTCATGGACAGAATTTTATAGTGAAATATTGTCCTAGCTGCAGGCAATATTTAAATGACATTTTGACCGATTCCATGGGGGACAATATTTTATGTTACATATGTATGTCTCTGGTCAGTCAGATCATATGCATGCTTTTTCAATGGAAATTGTGACGTCGAAACCCCATAATAATCATACGAGGATATGATTGCGCACTCGATATTGATAATTATTTCTCGAATAATTCTGCGCCCTCTATCGGTCAATGTCCTCTAATGTAAGCGATAGATAGTGAGCAGGTCGGGTTTAACGAAAACATAATTTGTGTCACATGCTATTGATTAACAGGGGGTATTCCCGATTTTAGCCAATCAAAACAGGTTTTGCTTTGACCTCATCGGCCTAAATAGAGTGGGTCATGTGAGGCAATTCAATGGAAAATCAATATGGCTCAACAATTTCTAAAGAAGTTGTTCCCGATTTCTCGGAGTAGTGGTGATAAATGGCGAACAGATTCTAAGTCTGAGTAAGTAACGGTGTAATGTATTCAAAACCCTTGTTTCTAATGATTACACATATTACAAACACGTCCAAAAACTCGAGATACATTGGTTTGTGTTTTTGGTCATGGAATCTCCTTTCAGTGAGCATCATTTTACTTCTGTCTTAAAACTGGGTCTGTTGATTATTTTTTTATTCGTCTTTAAGAAAATAACAATTACCGAACCACCTGTTTGTCTGACATTAGCTCGACAATCAATTCAATTGGCAATATATAATTAAACTTTTAGATGTATGTACGTGTTCATTGAATATGACAAATGTAAACAAACTTGTGACAAGCACATGACCATCCAGGTCATACACATCCGATGTCATCGAACAGTAGTAACTTACTTCTTACGTTTATAATCGGTGAATAATTTATTTATGGTCCAGTTTTTGATATTGACATGAGAGTATAAAACCAGTAAATGATGCAGATTCAAACAGAGAACCAAAATGTTTTCGTTGGCCTTTTTGAGTTCCAGTGTGAAAGCATATGACAGGTTTGACACCTTTTTTTTTAGAATGACTGTGTTTCAAAAGCTTTCCCTTAAGTTCATTTCCGAATTATGAAGCTAACTTATGTATAAATAATAATCCAATAAAAGTTATTCCAATGATGGTACTAGTGAATCTGATTTATCAGGTTGGGAAATACCCTCTTAAATGGGTACTACACCCATTTATGGGTTTATACCCAAAAACAAGTATTGATTTTTCGGTGATAAAGATCACGAATATATAAAACTTTATTTTCAAGATTTTTGCTATCATGGTGAAGGCATTCAGGTTTAGGACAAAATTTTGCCCAAAAAGACCATGCCATAAATATCGTCTGGGTAAAAGTCAGTTTTTTGGAGGCCATTTTTTGTGTATTCAGTTCTCATTTGAACTATGGTCTTAAAGGGAAAAATGTTGCCATTTATATGAATGTTAGCGCGCCATGACATCATACCTGCCAACTTTTCAAAATCTCCAAGGGGGATTTTAAGCGCAAGAGGATCTAATGCTCCTCTTATATTGTCATAAGTGTCCTTAATCTACTACTATATTGTTTGTATGAGTAAATATGTGCTTAATTACCCTTTTAACTCATTTGAATATCAGTTTTGATGTCTTAAGTTTATATAATAAAGAATTTCAAAATTCAGGTCAACACCTCTCATGGGGGATATCCCCATAAATCTGGATAGTTGGCAGGTCTGTGACATCCATTATGAAGAAATACAAAATTGTATTTTTTATCACTGTAGATTGATACCCGAGTTTGGGTATAATATCCATAAATATGAGGATATTCCCCAACCTGTTTATGGTACATGTAACTGTTACCATGGTTACTGAAATTATTTCCAATTGTATTATCTGACCTGAAATGTATCAGGTTAAAGAAAAGTTAAAAAAGGAACCTTCAGAAACAGGAACTAAATGTTTAAAAATCTAATATTGTCGATAGAATATTCTTTTTATGTATTGCAGGTATTTCTGGAATTCTTTTTCTTTTATCATCTTTATTATTTTCTCTTGTTATGAAAAGCAGTCCATTGCTTTCTTTAGTATTTTATTTTTTAAATACCTGGCCCTAAGGGAAGGAAATTGCCAGTCTTCAAACTGACATCTCATGTTTTTAATGATTGTTAACTGGTTAAAACAATAAAACCATTCCTGACTATTCAACAGCATGATAAAAATCTTCTAAATGCATGAAAAGGAAAGTTCGAAGGGTTATATATTCTAATAGTTGCTGTTTTTATACAACCCTCAAAAAGTCTGCAAATGGTATGGCAATGTTGTCGTCCGAAGACATTTGGTTTCCAGACTATTACTTGAGACAATGAGTACTGGTATAAGTGTAAGGATCTCTATGACTTTGTACCACAAGGTTTCATACCACAAAATGAAGGTTGGTTATGGTCCTAACTGTTTAAGAATTTTGGGCCAATAAGATGCCAAAAGCAAATATTTTTCTGGTTTCAAGAAAATAACTTGAGTATAACCTCAAAGTTCAAATTTGGGTAGCGTCACTTTTACCGTTCTTCAGTAATGTCCCTTTATAACTATATGATATGCAAGCAGGGGCATCATCTGTGTCCACATGTGGACACTATCCACATTTATTCTTCTTTTCTTTGGTAAATTGTTTGAAGAATTTTGTGGCATGTTTATTTGTTATTCTGTCAAAACTAATTTTCTAAATGCTATATTTTTTTTTTTCATGAAGTGAACTCCTTTAAAAACTAAGCTTATATTGTTTATTAATAAACATATATTTAGATTTCTGATTTTGGGCCGAGTTTTCAAGTTGGTCCAAATCGGGGTCCAAAATTAAACTGTGTTTGATTTCAACATAAATTGAATAAATATAGGGTTCTTTGAAATGCTTAATCTAAACCTGTATTTCGTTTCATTATTAATAATATAATACCACATTGAGGTCCAAAGGGTCCTAAATTAAACTTTTGTTTAATTTCATCAAAAATTGAATTCTTTGGTTCTTTGATATGCTGATTCTAACATTACAATGTTTGAGTGTTAAATCATATCTAATTTTTTAGAGAACTTAGTCATCACTTGTTGGTCCAAAATTAAACTTTGTTTGATTCAACAAAAAAATAATTTATGGGGTTCTTTGAAATGCTGAATGATAGAATCTAACCATGTATTGAGAGATTTTGGATTGTTGGCCCAGTTGTCTGTCCGTCCATTTATATCTATTGCCGTGAGCTCCCATTTGTTTTTTATAAATTTTAGATTTTATGTTTACGAGTTATGGGGTTTTATTCATTAAAATAAGGGGGATTTTCCAGTTGTCGGACAATAACTCAAGAATGCTTTCACCAACTTGCAAGAAGTTGTTGTGAATTGTTTATATATATTGACAAGTTCCCTTTTCGATTTTTATAAATTTTAGATTTATGTTTCCGAGAAACAGGGTTTTATTCATAAAAAAAGGGGGGTTTTCCAGTTTTCAGACAAAAACTCAAAAATGCTTTCAGCAGTTCTTATGAAACTTTGGTGAATTATTTAAATCTATTAATGTAAGCTCCCTTTAGAATTTTATAAATTTTACATTTTACATTTCTGAGTTATGGGGTTTTATTCATTAAAAAAGGGGGATTTTCCAGTCTTCGGACAATAACTAAAAAATGCTGTCAGCAATTCTCATGAAACTTTGGTGAATTGTTTATATCTATTGATGTAAGCTCCCTTTTGATTCATAAATTTCTAATATGACATTGAGAATTAATTGAACTTTATTTGTTTATAGTCCGAGAACAGATTTACTAAGTATTGCGCAACAGCACAGTGTATTGCACAACAGCAAGTAATCTTTAATTGAATATAAATTCAATTCATATAACCAATTTCAAGTTCTTTGACTACAATTATTCAGAAACCTATAATATGTCAAATATTTAATTACAATCCAAATTCAGATAGAATCAAGCTTGAATATTGTGTCCAAATTTGTCCCAGCTGTTCAGGGTTCGACCAATGCGGTCATATCAGGCTGCAGAGGGGGCATTAAGTTTTACCCTTGTCTGTCCGTACGTCCCAAAATTGGTTTCCGTTCTCTAACTTAAGTTTGCCTCGACCAAATGTTATCAAACTTATACACAATGTTTATTACCACAAAACACAGATCAAGTTTGAATTTTGGTGGCGTCACTTTAACCATTCTAGAGTTATGCCCCTTTATAAATGGAAAAATTGCAAAATTTTTCATTTCCGTTCTCTAACTTAAGTTTGACTCAACCAAATGTTTTGAAACACACAGTGCTTATCACCACAATACACAGATCAAGTTTGAATTTTGGGGCGTCACTTTAACTGTTCAAGAGTTATGCCCCTTTACAAATGGAAAAATTGCTAAATTTTTAATTTTTTTTCCAAAAATATCAATGTCATTATTCAAGTAATTTTTATACGACTGCAAATAAATTTTGTGGTTGTATATTGGTATGACGTTGTCGCCGGCGGCGTCGTCATCCGAAGACACATTGGTTTTCGCACTCTAACTTTAGTTTAAGTGAATGAATCTCTAAGAAATTTTACCATAAGGTTCAATACCACAAGAGGAAGGTGGGGATTGATTTTGGGGGTTATGGTACCAACAGTTAAGGAATTAGGGGCCAAAAAGGGGCCAAAAATAAGCATTTTTGTAACTTCCAGACATAACTTGTGTGTTAGTATATGGATCTCTCTGACATTGTACCACAAGGTTCCATATCACAAAGGGAATGCTGGGATTGATTTTGGGGGTAATTGCCTCCAAATTTTAGGAATTAGGGGCCAAAAAGGGGCAAAAAACAAGCATTTTTCTAGTTTCATGACAATAACTTGTGTGTAAGTGTATGGATCTCTCTGACATTGTACCACAAAGTTCCATATCACAAAGGGAATGCTGGGATTGATTTTGGGGGTAATTGCCTTCAAATTTTAGGAATTAGGGGCAAAAAAGGGGCAAAAAACAAGCATTTTTCTAGTTTCATGACAATAACTTGTGTGTAAGTTTATGGATCTTTATGAAATTGTACTACAACGTTCCATATCACAAAGGGAAAGCTGGAATTGATTTTGGGGGTAATTGCCCACAAAGTTTAGGAAAATGGGGCCAAAAATAAGCATTTTTCTAGTTTCCAGACAATAACTTGTGTTCAAGTGTATGGATCTCTCTGAAATTGTACTGCAAGGTACCATACCACAAAGGGAAGGCTGGGATTGATTTTGGGGGTAATTCCCCTAGAAATTTGAGGAATTAGGGGCCATAAAGGGGCAAAAAAACAAGCATTTTTCTAGTTTCAGGACAATTACTTGTGTGTAAGTGTATGGATCTTTATGAAATTGTACTGCAAGGTTCCATATCACAAAGGGAAAGCTGGGTTTGAGTTTGGGGGTAATTGCCCTAAATGTTTAGGAATTTGGGGCCAAAAAGGGGCCAAAAAACAAGCATTTTTCTAGTTTCCAGACAATAACTTG